TCAAATCGCACCGTGTCACTCCTCGGTTCTACCTAGGTAGTCTGCCATACAGTCCGTTTTCCCCCGACCGCGAGACATAGGACTGCCAAATCTGGAGAAGTTTTCTGCGGGAGCAAGTCTCTGTAAACACAATGGACTCAAGAAATGTATCGCATGCCACGTCAATCTGTCTTTTATTGGAAGTAACTCGATGCATATACCACCAGCCAGATGCAGTGACCACATGCGCTTGGGAATCTCGCTGTTTGAGGGATGAACTGCATACTCATTGGTCGTGAACTTGGTCTTGGACGGAACTAACGACTAAAACAAGTACTGTGTGCTTATGAAGGATAGTGATCTATGACTCATGATAAACGCAACGGCGGATGTACGTAGTGTCCAACTAGTCACGCAATGCAAGTACAACGGCCATTCATTGACCTTGAACTAGTCGCATCGTTCCAAATCTTTGTAGACTTAAATGCGACAGTTGACACGCTCGCTATTCTGTCTTAGAACTCGCAGCAGGTCTTGCACTCTGACGAAGTACTAGCTAGCAGACAAAGAAACAGCATTATGAATCTTATCATAACGACATTACTGACACAATCGCCAGTAAATAAGGAATAATGGTTATATGTTTTAGACAGCCTCTTCTTCGGACCTTTCTGTGTTCTATGTCTGTCCCAACTTCTCAAGGAAGTCTTCTTCACCTTACACATTGCCTCATCCTGTATGACTACCCGAGAGAGAATTCTGACGTGGCTTCCAATTTTCTGTCATGTTTGTCATGTTGTAACGCAAAATCGTGCTTGCGTCACAGTGTCCCGAAAAGTCCTAAATTAGCGACCTCGGGAGAATGCAGGCTTCCTAAGTTAAATTGAACATGGATACCTGAAAGACGGCATGTGGCGCTTTTTTGCTTTTGATGAGAGTCTTACATAGCCACATCGAATGAGGCGGTTGACTAGCTGTGCCTCGTAATCTCTGTCCAAGTTTGTTTTCAGACAACAAGACGACCCATGGTCTGTTATCTCAGCTAGATATCGTACGCTTCTCAAGGCAAGATATACTGCTAGTGGCAATCTTCCTACGGAGCTCCCATGTGCGATTCATCAATGTCGATCCTGTTTATGCCACATGCAAATGGTGCAGATGTAACGAGCTTACGAGCGCGGATCTACCCTCCCCTCATTAGGGCTCCGTGCATATCGGATTGGCGGTGTGAATGAAGGGCCGTGTGACAAACTTCAACCACATGTTGGCCCCGGGGAGGTCCGAACCCGAATCGAGACGGGGTCCACATTGAGGTATAAGACTCCTCGGGCGCCTATGGACAACCCTGATCTTGTCTTATAATTCCATAGGTGTTTGTGTGGGGCATCCGGCTTAGGTAGGCCACTTCAGCAGTAGCCATAGCTTCATTGGTAAGCCACTCCAACAGTAACCCCAGTTCCATTGGTTTAAACAATCTCTTTCCCATTCTCCAGCCAGACCGCTGTTACTTCATCCATATCATATCGCTCCGTCCTACCAAGACCTTTCGGTGGCCTCGATACCCTGTGATGTCACTCAGTGAGCCCAGAGTTCCCGAGGTCGACATCGGTACGCAAAGTACCAAGACGGATCTTATTCATGTTCGCACCAGCGTTGAAGAGAGTGAGCGAGAGAGCAACAGTGGAGCGCCGAAGAATGCATGGTGTCAGCTAATGGACATTTAGAAAAGATACACACGTCTCTACTGCTCACAACGCGCTCTTACGTCTACAATGACCCCGACGTCGCATTCGCGCCTGGCATTGGCTTTACTCCCTAAAGCACCGCCTCCAAGTACTTCGATTTCGTTCCGTAACTCCCGACGGTACCGGAACGATATTGTTGGGGGAACTTCGCGACAAGATGGGGAACGCGCGAATTGCCTACGAAAGGCCCGGTGCAGTGGACATACGTGTTCGGAACATCACGATTGCTGTTTCAATCCTGACTCCGAGTCATGCTATGACATGAATATTGTTGCTCAGGATTTAGGGGGCGTGAAGATACCATCATCGCCGTGGGCTTTAGATGGAATTCGGCAAATGTGTTGTCGCATCCCAGCAGCTACAGTAAGTCTCTAGTGCGAATTCTTACCCACCTAGAGGATTCACTTACGATCGTATCCAAAGAAGAAACACACCTATTTATGGCAGTGCTGCCAATGCGGGCACCCCGCTATCCCGTATCGAACTGCTGGCTGTCCTACATGCGGCTTAGCTCGCTGTGGCAACTGTCAGGTTACCAAGGTCCAAACGCGACGATGATCGAGCGAACGTGTCGCCATCAACACTCATGTGCGCTCATAGCTGATGTCAAGTGTTACATGGCGTGATCCAAGAGAAGCCTGGAGTGCAGAATGTATGACAGGTGACGTAGCTATAGTAATCAGTCTAAAATCCAATTTCTCATGCTACCTAGGCAGGCGAGGCTGCTCTAGTGCGTCACGTGATGAACACGGCTCAGGTGCTGCCCTAAGTTCCAAATCTCCTGGGCACTGCGTTCACGAATTCCTACACTTAATATCCATCAACACGTTGGTTGCAACCTTGGAATATTCATCTATCTGCGCTTTCCTCACAATTTATCAAGCCTAACTAGGTACCTAGGTAGTTACCTAGTGATGCGCGCGATATCAACTTAGGTACCCGGGTGCATTTACCCTGTACATCTGCACCTCGGGACACTTTCAGACCTCGGGACCCTTTCGCATCTTCGTCACGACCATCAGGTGAGCGGGGAGGCGTGTTACCTAAAACGCCCGTACAATTCATGGCTGCCAGAGCCTATACCTACCCAATTAACCGGAGAAGTACTCACCTGGGTAGGTAGGCACTGATAAACCAAAGTATGTAAGATCGACATGTGGCACCTGCCGTACCGTACCTAGGTACTTGAACGATATAACACATTCGTGATATGAGGTCACCCAACCTCCCGTGTTTCCCAAAATGCTAGCTGGAGACCTCAAAGTTATGGCAACTATGCCGCATAGCAAAACGCAACATCAATGACAAGCGCGAACGAAGACTCGGCCTCTGTCAGAGTCAAAAACGCATTCTATCCTCCGCGGATATTCGCTAGGTGGGCCGCGTGCCACGACACCTACGCATTGCCACAATTGCACGAAAACAATCCTAGGTCAAAAGCGAACTTATATCCACATCCACCCTTCTTAGACTGTCTGTAAGCCCGAACATTGGCCTCGAATTAGCGGCATGGATGTCTCGAAACATCTCAACAATGCTACTGATACAACTATTCAGAGACAAGAAAAAATGCTAAACAACTACAACCATTGCTACTGGTGCCACCAACACTCCTACCATATTCATCTCAGGGCGGGTTGACCTCCGTCAGCCCAGATGAAACTCACAAAATTGAGTATGCAGGCTACCTTCCCCCTCCAAAAGCTTGTCCGCTGTACGATTAGTCTCAGCTCAGGCCAAAAGCAGCGACTCGCGGCTGCTCTTTTTACGGCCGACTTCAGCACGGCGCATCGATGTTTCACCACTACCGCCCCATTAGGCAAAAGCATGTGCATAAAAGGTCCTCAAGAGAAGAGGGTACCTTGATGGTAGGCACGAGTCGTGCCATTCGCCTTTTACTCTACGATACCACAACTCGTCTTTCTTATTACCCTCGTATGCTCTCGCCAAGACCCGTGATTGAGATTGATGTTCAGTTGTGTGTATGCCCTTGAGAGGTTTAGGATACGCCAATCAAAGTTCATTCGACCGGATACCACGCGACGTAACTGAAGTTGATGATACGAGCTGGACATCATTGCGCTAAGAATCACCACTATCTTCGCCAGGCCCGGAGCAAGGATTGATCCACCAGCCCGCTTTGGTAAAACCCCGCGTCTTCCTCAGCCAATGCACGCCTTCACAGGAGCTCAAGCCAAAGCCCACCCTCATTGCCGATATTTTCTACACCATCGCAGATAATGGCACGAAAACGGCATACCTACGTCTGGCAGTGCGTGAGTGACGCTTTCAGGAACTGACTCGATTGTGAGCTGACAAACCTACAGGATGGCTGTGGCGTATCAGGTGTACCTTATACTTTGACTACGTGCCCTACCTGCAGCCACCTTCGTTGCGGTACCTGTCAAATCACCAAGGTGCAGCTGAGATAGCGCTGGCGTCGGCCTCATAGCTATAAGCAACAAAGCAAGGGAGAATTATCTTTACTCTAGACACATGTTGATTGTTCGGTTGGTACAGGTGTTTGAAATTTCAGGTCATGGTAGAGGATCATGTGCGATAATGACTGTTATCATGATCATTATAGAACATTGGTATAGACAAAAAAGACTGTAACTAGCATGACGTCATATATCTCCGCATTGCGCACTCAGAATGATCGAATGACTTGGGTATTGCTCAGGGTCTAAACTATTGGTATAGCTATCCAAACAGCCAACCCCGAGCATTTGACTGCATATTCGTATCCAACGACCTCATACATCAAACGTTACGGAGACAGTCGTGATCTACGATCTGCTCAATGATATCGACGGTTTCCGTTGGCTGGGCTCGACCCAGTCGCGTGAGAAATCTGTGCTGCAAGCGCTTCCGGTGTTGGTTAGTCCACTCTACGCCGTAGTTGATAACTGGAAGTGCAAACAATAGTACGAAAAGACATAAGACGAATGCCTTCGGCGTTCGGTCTATGGAGAAGAAGTTTCGCTCTCCACAAAAGTATTGAAGCACGAAGGCGAACGGGGTTGAGATCAAGAGTAACTACAGCTTGTAAGCATACCAAAGACACATTGGATGACACGAAGTACCTGAACATTTTCACGTGTTGTGCGACTGGTTTCTTCAGCATGTCGTTGACTCGCGAGGGCTATTCTTGTGGTCTTCTCGGTAAGCCTACTTGTACGAAGATTAAGCTCATGAGTCTGAACACTGAGTTGGTTGCTCTTAACGTTAAGGCCGTGAGTATGAGTGCTAAGACGGTTGTTTTGGATGCTAAGCTCATTGTTTTCGACCGCCATACGCTGGATAAGCTTCCTTCGATATTAGTGAGAGAGATACATGTGCTTTGGGCAAACTTACGACATCTGTTGATTCGGCGCAATGTCTGTCGAGAATACTGAGCCTTCGCTCCAGTCCTTTCAGCTTTCTGAATGACTCCTGGAGCGTGTGTATGGCAATCCAAGCTTCTCGATTATCGATGTCGGAGAAGAAGTCCATATGACCATCAATGCCGCTGAAGTCATCCCACGCAGCTGTTGTCGTAGACAAGTGTACGCGGAGCTCCTGTAGAACTTCTTTCAGAATGACCGTGTCTTCCAGGGATTGTCGATTACTCGTAGGCTTATCGTAGCTACAAGAAGCTTTCGAGGTGGCATAAATGATGTGTTTCTTCTATCAGCTTCGTCAGAGCAAGGCCACAATTAACAAATCGTAGGATATTTACCCAATGTCTGATACCACTTTCCAGTGTTTGAACAATGTAGGTATATTCTTGCAGTATGATATCGATCCGGATGGATGTGACACGTAAAAAGTACCTTCGCGGATCCCAGATTGTCGAGAATGTATCTAAGAGCTGATTCATTCCATCTGAAGCGAACCGATCCTCATTAAGCATCTCGTCTTCATCTTCATCTTCGTCCTCATCAGACTCATCGGTTTCACCGGCATCATGGTTCCCATCCCCTTCGTCCTCTTCGATCTCCCCCACAAGATGCTTGTAGTCTAGGTCGTTTGAATCATGGTTGGAAAACGCGTAGCCAGTCCACTCGAAGTGATCGCACCCGAATATGGAGATTGTTGTATGCGCTGCTTGGATGAAAAAGCGAGCAGGCCGCACGCCGTCCTTGCCGTCGATGTTCAAGAAGGCAAGATCCGTCTCGAACTGCTTACCCCCGGCTTCCGACGCGCTTGATTGGCTTGGCTGTGACGTCATCTCTCTCAGTTTCAAGTAAGGAACGCTGAACAACAGATTGAAAGTCAAAAACCCGATAACCTGCGCAGAATCATCAGAACACCGATCTCCTAAAGCAAATGTAGTGTCAAATACCGGTATTATCACTTCTATCGTGGGCTCACGGGCAATATGTCGATACAGCACCGTTCGTAAAGCCGATACCTCATTGCAATATGCCGTTGTGGCAAACGCGGTGAGGAAATCTTTGTTGAAGCTCGGTATGTATCTGTACAAGTTGTCAACCAATCCTGAGACATATCTTTTGACTTGAAGTGGCAAGATCGAGGACGTACATCAAGCGTCGAATGGAATCTGAGTCGTTGTATTCGAGGGCCGGCTGAACGACATTAGCTAATTCTTGCAATTTTTGGGCCTGTTCTAACATACGCGCTCCGCAAGGATGTTGGTAAGCTCATGGCTAGTGAGCCACTCGGGACGAACCCTACAGTTCTCTGTAGACTTCCTACGGTACTCAACCCAAGCCCGCGCCGGTGTCTGGTCAGTTGATTTCTCAGCCATTGCTTGCCGCAAAAACTTCCGAGCTTGTTGCACTTCTTGGGACGGTACACAACTCTCAGTGTCTTGGAGGAATGCCTCTAAGACGTTTCGCTTAACCCCCAGTTCTTCTAGACACTTCAAGAATGGCCGATCTTGACGGTTACGACCGCGTTCGGCAAACTTTGGACTCCATTTCCGAAGATATGGATATTGGTCGGCATCGGACTTATTGCTGCTCCTCTCATGGTTCTGGATATGTGAATCAATTTTCTCGTCTTGTCTCATGTTGGTCTCCCGGAGACCATCAATTTGCATTCCAAGAGTTCAAGCGGCTGAAGCTGATGAGAGCTTGGACAGTGTCTCGGAAGTTCTGGACAAATATCGAACTATCGGGTTGTATTCAGAAGGTGATTTGGTATGTATGCCGGAGATCTGTTTGTGGCAAGAGTATCACTCAAAACGAGTGCCATGGTTCTCATACTCGATAAATAGTCTTCTCGAATAAGGCTACACGTTTTTTAGGGCTGATACCGACGGTCGCACACGAACACGTCCTTTACTTTCACTCGCTATGCTGAGACAGGCCTTCAGCCATATATGACCGACATGAAAGGGCGACGCAACTGGGGCTGTGTTGGGTGTTTGCCCTTCATCGGGCAGACCGAAGATCACGCTGGATCCAAGTGCATTTAGACATGTTCAACTGTCGAGCATCCTCGGTACGCTAATTCGCGCATTTAACCACGTGAGAGTTCAGATTTGCATCCTCAGTGGTGCGAGGTCAGATCATGGCGTCAGAGTGCAGGCCTCAGCCTTGCTTGGGCATCAACGCTCCCAAGGTCGATACGATATTGAAGTTGACCGATGTAAAAGAGCAACAGGACAGCGCATGCCCAGGCGGTCTACCACGCGATGCTTGTGGTTGACACCTTTCGTTACCTAGGTACTTCGCCTCACCGGAGCTTCACAGCCAGTTTCTATCAGACAATATTGTGGAAGGACCGCAGTGCCGAGTGTGCACTAAAGTTGTTGGTTCGCTGAAGATTACCTAGGTGGGCTTATATACAAAGGCTAGAGGATTGTCTGATGGTCCATGCGTGATAGGGCCAGTCGCATTTTGGACATTGGTCCAGGGAACTGAGCTTCGAAAGTCCTAAGTTCGCCAAGATCATAACCTCACCTGGGCAACGCTCGTGCATCTAGGCGTGGCGGGTCGTGAAATCTTCTCTTTTGTTGAGTGAGCTGATGTACAGGTGCGAGCACAAAGCCATCGGGCAACATGGTGTATTTATCGCGGCGCAGATATATTTTCCTAACGCCCTGTAAGCACTTTATATCTGGGTACCTTCGTAAAGAGTCTCGCCTTGCCTGAGTCGATGATTCGTATTCACAGCCTCGCGAATCATAACTACAACTCTAGATTTGAAATCAATCTGATCGATAAAATCGCTGTTCTGGATGAGAGCCTTGTATTGAAGATAGCCTGGCGAAGTAACGACTTTGATGAAGGTCGAATAGAATGGTTGCTATGCGATTAAGCATTCCCAACAATCTTATCACATTGCGTGCCTTCATCCCTTGGCATGAACACTGCATGTTCAAACCAGCCTGTGCATGCTTGCATTAATCTATGCAACTTGTGAAGCATGCTTGACACCCGTTTGCCCAGAAACCTGGGTATGAGAGAAAAGATTGATAGTTATGCCTAGGTATGATGGGTGCAGCTGTTCAAGACACAAGTGAGCATTGTAGTACCTAAACAAGTACTACAACTGACCTATTTGAAGGAAATTCTGCTTCTTCTTAAGATGCGGAAGAGAGTCGTGTCGCGACGCTGTGTGGAGGCACTGATCACTTGACCTGAACCCCTGTAACCTGACAATTGCCACATCGACCATTACCACAAGACGGGCAAGTAAAGGCACGCAGAACTATAGCAGGTAGCCCGCAAGCACACTACAGATCGCTTAGTCCACGTATCTCAATCTCCAAACCCTACTTACACATTGCCACACGTAAGTATCCTTCTTCCCTTTTTTCTGCTCTCTGAGAAAAAAAAGGGCCATCGCGTCTACGTAGACGCCAGTCGATGTTCTTAGGTTTGCGCCAACGCGCAAGTGGTAACAATAAGGCGCTTGGAGGTTGCTGACAGACCACCAACTGTGATGGTTGTGGAGTCCTTCCAAACCAGTCCCCAAAATAGTGGGGGAAGGTGGCTATGGGAAAAGCTCATAACGTTAGCATTAGAAGTGTCCAGTGGAGGCTAGACATACTCAGCTTGCGGAAGATCCTCTGTAACGCTGTAAATACCGAGGTCCTTCCCAGCAAAGCGACGAAGTGTGAAAAGAAGCGAAGACAGGTGTGAATATTGGAATGACATGGCTTTAGTACCCGGTCAAACTAATAGAAACCAGCCCATTCAGGCCGCGATTCCATGTGCTCTATGATACGTTGGCTGCTGCCACGGAGGGTTACTGTTCTAAGCGCACCTTCATACATGGTTACTTGCGTAGTTTCATGCCTACCTAGGTATATGTATGTTAATGCTGCAACTCTCACTGGTACAGTAAACATGACGTCGGGTATCTGAGTAGCTGACCAAGGTGCCTCAGAACGATGGTAGGAAGACTTCATCTCCATTGTGACTCACCTGACTCTTACGCATTCTGTCGTGAGTATCACCACCTGGGCAGAGACGCCAGACACGATATCGCGACTCCAGCCAACCTTGCGTTTCGAGACGCGCGCGCGCATAACAAAAGATGCGGCATGTGATTGAGAGTACTACGTGCGTGGTTACCTACGGGAAACTTGGTGCGCCGGAACAGTCAGCGGCTATTCAGAAGCCTTGCTAAACTTGAGATGGACCCTGCAAATGTTTTGCGAAGACTTTGTGGCGACAAGGATCGGGCAGCAAAACGAGCTAATCGATGAACGCAATATCGTGGAGCCGATACCGGCAACACTGAAGCAATCCTGATAGGCTCCCGGGGCGTGTAAGAGCCGCAATGAAGAACTCACCGGCACAGGAAACAACTGCATGACTTCGGCGACCGTCTCATGGTACAAACGAATATAGTTGAACAAGTGCCCTTGTTCTATTTGCCGCCTGTCACACCGAATACCACTATCTCCAGTTTCGCGATCAAAAGGCCGTGTTGGGTGCGGTGCGGCTCCGGAGCTGGAGCTGGTCGCGCTCGCGTTGAGTTGACCTTCCCCACCAACCTAGAAGCATCAAGCCCTGGAACATTCACTTCCCGAAGTCGTCCGTCAAGATTCCTGCATATCTAGACAATCCGCACGACCTCTCTATCCCGACCTTCCCTCTGAGAGATTTCTAATCGATGGTCACGCTACACTAGTCATCTATTGAGTGGCTAAGTTGACCTGGTCATCAATGATTCAGGGCCCACTGCCGTGGACGGTCATACAACATAAGCTATCTAAGTGCGAACCCTCATCGCATCTATCACGTACAGACAAATCAACCCTCATCCCAGAAGGCGAGGCGCGCTCGAGGATTTCGTATAGCCGCAATGCGTCTGTCGTTACCTTTGCCTCTGGTAGCTTGCCTGGGTATTGGGGTAAAATCGAGGTCTGGGCAGGTAATCGGTCTACGAAGTACCACAACTACAGACAGCGCTCCAGTTTCAAAAGATGGCCTTGGAAATCTCAAGCGACATATCTACAATGGTGATGTAAATGAACGGCTACATGACACCCAGACGCAAGGCCGTATGAGGACATCAACGCAGGACAGCCTCGCTGACCATGTTTCCCGGGTTCCAGATGACCACGGCATCTTTTCGTTACAGCTGCGGTCGGAGCAATAAGAAAGTACTGAGTACGGGACGCCTTACTTCAGAGATGTGACATCCCATATGGAAATTGGCTGCCTGAACAACGCAGTATGCCCAGGTGGTTATACGGCAAGGACGGCGCTTGGCGCACGTCACGTGTACTGTGCCTCATGTACAACAGCTCACATATACCTTGTGACTACCCAGCCTCGCAGTAAAGAAGCTTTCCGTGACAGAGGGCCTGATGTGGAGGTGGCACAGTGAAGCTCAGCGGTGTGGGGCGCTCAAGACATATAATGTACTAGATCATAGCTTGCCCTCCAAGATTTCAAAAGCTCGTATAAGTCTACACCTCCTACTCGTCTGTTGTACCATTGTGGAGCTGAGCCAATCCAAAACGCTTCAAGATGTTGCTCCCAACTTCGTTTTTACTCACCACCCTCCTGGCTTCCGCGTCGGCTCAATACGCCCTCAACAGTTCCGTCGGTTCGTGTGCCGACGTACACTGCCCTGAGACTCCTCTTGATGGAAGCAATGCCATTAAAGCAGAATGCAATGTCACCAACAGAACCTATGAGAGGATTGGGTTCAGATCCTTCTCCACCGCCATCCTCGATGACAACAACAATTTGACGTGGACACTCGCCGCCCATCTCGATACAGACGTTCCGATAAAGGACCAAACCACGGAGAAAGACTTCTATCTCGGCACCCCTCCGTCTCTTGAACTCGATCGCGACGACCTGCCGTACCGGGGTTGCGCTGTGTTCATATATAATACCACCTTTGGACGGAACAACTCATGGGATTGCGCAGAGGCAATTGGAGCGAGCTGCATTTCGTCGCTGGTAACGCAGGCCAACACACTGCTGGCACTCTCTCCTTCCAATGCAACAGAGACAACGGAAGAGAGCTGCATGCGCGTGCAGAGAGGAATGGAGACTTTCCCAACGGAATGTACAGAGAAGACAAACATGACTTCCTGGAATGCAATTTCAGCCATACGTTCGTGTCCTCATTCCATTCAAAGAGATAGCCCTGTGCTAACTTCTTCTAGCACTTACTGGCAAAGGGGCACCTACGCCGCCAAACTCTTCCGTCAATGCGAGCTCGAACTGTCATCCGACCCTCCCCAAGTCCAATGATCTCAGTTTGGCCTTTAGCCATAATGAAACCGGCGTGGGGTCCTCTACTGATATCATCATCACCACATTCTGGTCG